GTTTTTGTATCAGTGAAAATTTTGTAAATCTTAATTTTAAGTCAACCAGTACACATATATATTTGTGTGTGTGTGTCTGTGTGTATATATACTTTTGCTGTTCTTACCTACTTCAAGTCTTCCTGAGAGCAAGATTAACTCAGTGAATAGTGTTAAAACGTTCATTTCTTTTTGACTTATTTCAATATGTATTTTAGTGAAGATTATGCAAAATATGAAAATGCCAAGTATTTTTTCATTTAAAAATGTGAAAATTGTGTGGTATCTAGCTGAGTGAACACAAAGAAGGAGCTTGGGTTCTTTGAGATTAATATTTCTTTTGAACATAATTCCTTTTCTTGAATGTTATTGCTTAGTTAGTTGGGGGGAATCTTATGGTCTATTCTTCCAAAGCACTGACTAAGTTACTGACAGTAAGAGTCAGCAAAAATCAAAACTGATGTAGTTTTCCTCATAGAAGCTGGAAGTCACAGTCTACTTCCCTTAAAAGCTTTCCCCACGCAAGCTACCTGATTTTCTGAGTTAACAGCTTAGTCTTACTTTGGTACTCAGACCAATTTCTGTCATGCCTTAGGGCTTACCATCTCCCAGATCATAAATAGAATTCCAGAATTCTTAGCAAATCTCATTATGCCCTAGATCATTTGACTTCTCCACTGAGACACAATCTTGCTTGAGGCCCTGTTAGTATGAAGAGAATCCTTTTAGATCATTATTCCTTGCCCATATGGCTCCATATTCTTGGCATCAAATTCTCTGACTCAGGTCTTCAGTCTTAAGATTGGTCTTTCAATAATTCAGTGCTTAAATTATGACCAAGCTTTCTACATAGTTTACACAATATACCATATCTATGCTGACAAGCTTACCCTCCAGCTCCTGTTCCATTCAAACAGGTGTGCTTTTTCTTAAAGTTCTGAAATCCAGCTCCTCTCAATCACTACATTGCCTTGAAGAATCTTCATGACCCCTGCATGAGTTCCATGTTATAATAAATTTGTGTTCTTATGTATGGAACATATTAAACATTTTTGACTACTGTGAATTTAAAGAAACTTGATTAAGAATGAATGGGTTAACTTGGTATCTAGCCTCTTAAAATATTGGATTAAGTTTTGCTTTTTTGTATATTCTAGCTCTATATTCAGATCATATAATTTAAATTTTGTAAGCTTCGATTTTCTCCTTTGAAAAAGTAAGTTTAAAATACATACCTTGACTTCTGCTTCTATTCATGAAGGAGTAATGACTATATGACTTGCCTTCTTGCTGTAATAGTTAGAAAATTGGACAAAACATGTAATACAGTTCTCACACATTAAAAAAATAGAGAAGCACTGTAATGCCTGGGAGAAGGGAAACAAATCAAGAGCACCTATAATACCTAGATTTCTGCCTGGAGGCAATATTTGGACCATGGTGTGTGGAGGGACAGCTAGGAGAGAATTTCAGGGTCTTTGAGGAGACAAACATCTGAGTTTGGAGAGAACAAGACAACTAGAATTTGTGGGGAAGATTACCACAAAGGAGGGAAATACACGGAGAAAGAATTCTAGAAATCTGTATCAGTGTAACCCTGAGAATTCTGAGTAGTGATCTTTTATAAATGTAGAATTGAATTTCACAAGGCCAGGTGAAAAACTGCCAAAAAGGAATAATTGACAGAGAACTTTAAGCAAATGAATTCCCAGAGCTTTCACTGTTCTGAAAATCTTCATGGAGTATTCAGTAGGGAGCACAAAGGGTCAAGCTTTAGTAATAGGGAGGAATCACTCTAACCAGTCCTTGAGGCCCATCCTAAAAATTTTTAAAAAACAAGCATCAGTAAAAAAATTTACTTGTTAGACCCACAAGTAAATTAACCTTCAGCTAGAATCAATTTTAACTCCTTCTAAGGTAATAAAATCTAGCACTAAACAAAATGAACATCACAATGTCTGGTAACTAGTTAAAAAGTCACTGGACATGAGAAGAAATAGGAAAATATGACTCATGCTCAGGAGAAAATTTGGTCAATAGAAACCCACCTGGAAATGAGAGATGATAGAATTAAAGACAAGAAGTTCAAAACACTATTAAAAATATAAATATGGGGGCACTTGGCTGTCTTAGTGGGTTAAGCCTCTGACTCTTCATTTCAGCTCATGTCATAATCTCGGTCATGAGATTGAGCCCCATGTCCGGCTCTGCGCTCAGCATGGAGTCTGCTCAAGATTCTCTCTTCCTCTGCCCCTCCCCTCATGTGCGCGTGAGGGCTCTCCCTCTCTCTCTCAAAATATATAAAATCTTTAAAAATATATAGAAATGAAAACTAAGATATCTGAAATAAAAATTCACTAAATGAGACAAATAGCAGATTAGACAGAAGAAAATATCAATGAACTTGAAGGTATAGCGACAGAAAATACACAAAGTGAGAGTCTCAAGAGAAGAGAAAGACTTTGAAACAGTTAAGTGTCAGCAGCTGATGAAACTCTAACAAGCCATTTAACGCTTAATTTGAGTACCAGAATTAGATGGCAGGGGAAGTAGGAAACTGAAAAATTGTGGTAATTTTTCCCCAAAATTTTATGAAAGCAATAGCTACCTCAAAATGTGGTCATGAGTACCAAATGAGAAAATGTGTGCAGAAAACACTTTACTTGCGCTTAGTCAAATGAACATTCTCATTGTTTGTTGTTTATAAATATGTTCCAGGTATTTTGCATTCTTCAAATAAAAGGCATAAAACAGGGACATTTTGTTCAAATTAGTCTTCTATTTAGACACATTATATATGTAATAATGATAATAAAAATTAGAGTAAGAGGAGGAAGAACAAAGAGATAATTATTATTTTGGGATATACTGTGTCTGGTCCTTTAAGTGCTATATACATATTACTCATTCAATCTTCATAGAAACCTTATGGCATAGCCACGATATTATTTTTTGAGTACAAAAAAATGAGGTTGAGAGATATAATCTGTTACCTTATAGAAGAAGATGGTAAACTGGAGATTTAAACCCATATCAGTCTGAAATTCAAAAGCATATAATTATACTGTTTCCCATATTCTAAAAGTTATGAGCATGAATGCCTCTTTAGAATTTATTTTTAACCTACACTGCCAGGTTTAAGAAATGTTCTGATATTTTGTTTTATATCTTTTTCCATATGAACTTTAGGCTTTTCAAAATCATATTCTGTAAATGTAGGTAATTTTCTAGACTCAGAAATCAAGCTGTCATTTATTTACAAGAATAACTGGTTTGCCAAATTGATTCTAGGGCCATTTCTAGAGTCAACAGAGTAATAGTCTGTTTTTACAAGTAAAATGGACTTATTTAATATTTGTGTTAATGTGTGTCTGTCTACACAATTCAAGAAATGAGTTTTACATATGAAGAGTTAAAATTTTAAAAACTTTTTATAAACCTTGTAAACATAGATGCTGTCACCAAATGAAAAGATATACCTAATGAGTAAGGTATCACACTTCCGATGTGCTGTTTAACAAAACCATGAAACAGCAATCTTCCTTAAATTCCAAAATATAAAACTATAAACGCAATATTTAAGTCTAGCATATCTTTCTTGTAGGCCAATTTTCTCACCAAATGTATTGATGATAATGTAGAATATACAGTTGGAGTTGTGTGCTCTTCAGTTTTCATCAGAAATAGAGAAATAGTTTGACTTGATCAAAATTCTTAATGATAATTATAAAATGGTTAAAACCATGTCTTCTAAAGCTAAATCAAATAATTTAGAGACATGTGAAAATAATTTATGATAAAGATAAATTCCAATATTTATTTGAATTTTTTTTTCAGTTTTTCCCCTGATAGTGTTTCTAATAGAAAGGGAAAAAATGAAATGTAGTTATAGACTAAAGTAGAAGAGTATGTGAGTCCTCATTTATGTCTGTCTTTGGTATTTTAAAAATTTAATCTCAATTTTCAAAAACTCTATCAAAGTAAGCATTTGCTTAAAGAGTAAGTCCAAACACCTTCTCTTTAAACACCTCACAATTTGGTCATTTTTATAACCTTATTTCCCCCTCACTCCTTTATCCACTCCTTTGTGCCCACTTCACTACGTATGCCAGTTAATCCACTCTTATCTTTCCTAGACCTTTCAAAGAGGTACTTCTCCAACTATTACATGCCAATGAATTACCTGGAAAGTGTGTTAAAATGTATACTCTTGCTCAGCGTGTCCTGGGTGGGGTCTGACAGTCTGCATTTTTTAAAATAATAAGCAATTTTTATTAAGGCATAATTGACATACAACATTAGTTACAAGTATACAACATAATGATTCCAATATTTGTGTACACTGCAAAATGATCACAATAAGTCTAGTTGACACTCAACACCGTATTTTTGCAAGTTTTTTCTTGTGATGAGGACTTTTAAGATTTACTCTCTTACCAATTTTAAATACGCGGTACAGTATTATTACCTATAGTCACCCTGATGTACGTTACATCCTCATGGATAGTCTGTATTTCCAGTGAGTTCCCAGGTACCACACTTGGAGTAGCCAGGTTTTTAGAGTATTGTATGCAATAGGTACTCCTCCTCAGCCGCGAAGACTGTTAGATGTGATCTCCTCGGTGGCCTCTGTGTGGATGCCCATTCCCAGGCTGAATGAGCCTCTCCCATCTTATGCTCACAGAAAATCCTAAATGTGCTACTTCAGTTTTAGACAGTACCTTTTAGATTGTGGTTTCACCAAGAGACAGGCAATCACTGCTAAAGCCAATGCTTGCATTTTATTATTTTATTGCTATTTTATTTTTACCTATGATCTTGGATTTAGCAAGAAATGCTCTGGTAGCACATCTGAAGACTTCCTCAGATAGAGTGTCGGCATATGTGTGAGATAGTCATCTGTATATAAATCTTCCTTGAGAGAATTATTTTATTTCAAAGTGTTCGCACCACTACTAGTTACTAAGTATTATTTACTTCTTTGCCAGCAATAATATGGTTTTTTTCTTTCTTTCTTTCAGGGTTTGAACCTGAAAAGACCGGAGGCAGTACAAGGAGGGAGAGAGGTAAGAAAGTCAAGGGAGCGGAAAAGGGAAGAAGAGAAAGTGCTTACAAGTGTTGCAGTGATATGGTGGGTGATGGTGACTGATGACGAGAATGGTGATGAGAATGTGTGGAGAGGAATTTTGTGTACCTATATCCCATTCACTCTGGGCAAAGCACATTTTGCACATTTATGTAAATGTATTATTTGCGCTAGTTTCTCTGAAACCAGAGGAAGTACTGTTTCTCTGGTTTTAGGCAAAGATCGTTTCTGTTAAAATGGATTTTTGCAGCAGCAGGACCCCCCCGATGGGGCAGCAGGCCTTCTTAAACCAACATCACAAAGCTATATTTAACATGTTTTACTGAGAGATTAGCAAAGTTCCAACAATGCAGACATTTTATGGCATTTGGGATTCTTTGCTCTGCTATCCAAGGCCATCGGCATATGCTAGAGAGTCGGCACGCATTATTTGATAGTGTAAAGTTGCTTTGGTAAGACTAGCAATTTTAAAGCTTTCTCTAATTATTGTTTATCTCAGATGTTTTATAAAGAGGGGAACTTTAAGTAGTATCAAACCCAATACTGAATCATGCCCATTATATGTATTATGATTTTCTAATTCTAATTGAATGCGCAGACCTAACTTCGATTAAAATTCTTTCCATGCTAAAGTGTGTAAATGCTATATTTGTGATTAGGATTGTTGGGGGTGGGGTAGAGTGTGATATTTAATTCTGTAAATCAGTATTTTCTTGTTGCCCAAAAGGTAAGTTTATTTTAAAATGATATTTATTTCATGATTTTTTGGTAAAAGGGAAACTATTTTCTTTTACAAAATGAGACAGTAAATATTACTTACTCCCTCCCCATCTGTGGCCTCTCTTTCTGTAAAAAGAGATTTCTTCTGTATTGAGTTACAAAGTATTTTCCCTTTCTTCCTTTGCTGTTTTAATTTCCAGTTGTGTGTTCTTAGTATTTGGCATTTTAGATCCTAGTAAACTTGTTATTTAGGGCCTCTTTCCTATTGATTTGCTGTTTCCACCCAAAATAATCTATTCCTTTTGAGGGACACATAATAATTGGCTCACATTGGCAGAAGAGCTGGAGAAAGTGAAATGTAGATAAGTCTTCAGATATTTTTCATGTTATAGGAAAGCAAGGTAATAAGGATATGGTCATTTGTAAAGAGAGAGTGGGGGTGGGGGTGTGTAAGGAAGACCTCAGAACCATTTAGTTTTGGGAGGGTAACCACTTTCATCCAGACATGACCAAAATGGATCTACTTAGAGAAAGAACTTAGCTCATCACTTCTACAGTGGAAAGTTCACATCCAAGCAGAACTGCCACAGTTTATCTCTGCTCATTCAGTGCCTTTAAGGAAATGGAATTTGGAGTTACCCAGCTTCTCCCTGTTGTCTCCTAGTCCAGTAGTAACTATGTTAAATCCATATGCCCGTATAATGGCATTGCTAAGTGATAGCGAAATTCTTCATTTGTTTTATCAAGCTTTTGTGGTTTTTTATGTTATTTTTAAAAGCCAAATGACTGGTTTTTATTGATAAGAGTTACTGTTAAATTTTATTGCTTTTTCTTTTCATTTTCTCCGACTTTGTTTTTATTAGAAATGCACTTGTGGGTAAAGAACATGTTGATAATGTGTTTTAAATTATTTTTTCTTAAAACTGTTTTATGATTTATGTGAAGGTCAAAATTTTAATGATCTACAATATAATATATACATCTGCATAAAGGGGATAACATTTTTTGGGTCTCTCCCTGAGGTTAGTGGAGTGATTGTGAAGAAGGTAAGTTCATCAGATCAGTGAGAGCCCAGTATTGTCTTTGACACTTGACACTAACAATCCGGAATATAAACTAAATGGTGACTATTAAAATTCAAAACAACCACTTCACTTGATCTCTGTGCAACACTGGATTACATGGGCATATTTCTATTTAACCTAACACTCACCTTAGTTTTCCCCGTGTTTATAAAGCCCTATATATTCTATGGTAAGAGACTTCGGAAGAGTATCAGACAATTAGGTGAAATATGTTGTGAACACTGTTCTGGCAAGTCTCAGGGGTAGGTGATCTATAAACAAAGAGTGTAATGACTATGTTAAAAGCCTCCTGATCTCTCTTGTTTACAAAATGCCACATATCTTTCTGATTCCTATTTACTGTGTTCTATTATGTGTGCTTTACAGTGATGTATAGTATACTTCTGACTACGTTAATTTGAAATGTGTGGATTTAGAAAATTCTTACTCAAAGCCGTCTCTTAGAATTCTTTATCCGAATGCTATTGTGATTAAGATTTAATAGCAATGATTACTTCTTAAGATGAATTAATTTGTCTTAGTTTAAAAGACAGCTTTTCCCACTAGGTGTTGATGGATGTAATACCTAGGGCCTGTTACCAAATATTTATAAGAAGGTTTAAGACATGTTGTTTAAAATGTTCTATTTACTTATTTGAGATAATGACAATGGTTAGAGCATGCATGGAAAATTGAAGCAGGCAGTAATATGCTATTTAGCTAAGTGGCAAATACTATTAAAAAGCTAATTGCTAGACAGGAAGGCCACGTTTAAACATTACGTGCTGTATAAAAATATAAATTAAGAAGCAATTAAAATATAAACTACTTTTCCAAAGGAAATGGAGATGGGCAGCACCTAAATCACTTGTATTATTGTGAAATATTTGAAAATAGATATTAGTTCGATAAAAAAAGTTACATGAGTATTTTTGCATATTTATACATGCACACTGTTTATAAATGGAGTGGACTAATCATAATAGTTGTTTGAAAAGGGAGATTAGTGGAATGTTGTACAAAATGTGATTATTTAACCGGGATTTCTACCTGATTGTAAATGAACCTCCTGCCTCCAGTGAGATCTTGTTACTCAGAGAAAAGCCTCAGTGAAAATCATTTTTAAATTTGAGCCTTAAAAGGGAGAAAAATTAAAGAATGAGATAAATGACACTCCAAAATAATTTATCTACCTGGAATATTAGCACAAACATTATTTCATGTGTAGCAAAATACAAATCACCTTTGATTTTTCTTTCCATATATAATTTAGTTAGAATTATTAAACAGATTATTTTAGGCCTAGGTTATTGCTTATGTTAGGAAAACTCAATATTACTTCTCCTAGGTCCAACAGACCTCTGGAGAGAGTTGTTTTTTAACAAAATAAAAGAAGGTAAATATGTGAGCTCTAAGGATTGAACTAAACTTGAAGAAAGTGTATTGTTCTTGGAAATAAGAACAGCAAAGAATAGCAAAAAGTATGGAAGTTCCATTATTCTCTTAAAATCTAATAGTTTATATAATTTTGAAATTATAGAAAATACTTCTTTTGTCGCTTTAGGCATCAAATAACAAATCTTTACTAAGAAATAGGTCTTGATTACCAGTTATCTTTAATATTTTTTTCTGCAGAACTGTCTTCCATTAACATGTTTTCTTTATTGTTCAATATTCAGAATAGACTGAAAGTTTCTACTTTTGTTCAATTTTAGCTATCCCATTCTCGGTTGCTGTAGAGTTTGGTAGAATGAGAAATTCTTTTATATCCTCAGTGATAACACAATTTTGGGAAGGAAATATATATTGGCTAATATTGTATTCTTTTTTGAGATATAAAAGCTGAGATGAAGATAACTCTTCCTTTTATAGCTAGAGTTATTCAGTGTTCAGTGCCTATAGTTTGTTGCTGAGATGTAAGTGATTTACAATTTGATTTTGAGATGAAGAGACCTTTAAGAACTCACTAAAAAATAAAATATTCCCTTTTTTCCCCTTCTCAGAATTGACAGACATTAAAGGAGGTGAAAGGTCTTTGTGTTTACAAATCAATATTTAATTGAAAAAATTACACGAGGCCATAATATTTATTCCTGTTTCAAAAGGTGGTTGAAATGATAAAATGAGTTAATATGTACAAACCTCTTTGCATGGCGCCTGCCACATAGGAAGCACCAAATAAATGGTAACAATTACCATTATTATTTTTCATATTATCTGATCTTCCCGTCATTCTTCTGTCAGAGACAGAGTGTCATGTTGTTGGAATATTTTGCTCTCTACATGAACTAGCCTACTCCATGGGAATCAAAGATATTCAAGGCCTACCCTGACAAGGATTTTATATTCTAAATTGGTTCTGAGATGACAAATTACAAATAGGACAACAAAATCTACTTGGAATCCATTGTTTAACCTTAGAAATCTTTTTTTTTTTTGAACCTCAGTAATTCTTAATTTCATATTTTATATCATAGATAAGAGAAAAATGGATATACGTTTTCCACTTAGCATTGTTTGCAGGGAGAAATGCATAAGGCCTGTAAGTTTTAGAAGCTATTTTTCATATCCCCTCTATTTTCTGAGTGAAAATCCCAATTTGAAGGTCTCTTCTATGGTTGTAGACTGTTGACATTCCAAGAGACTATCCAAAAGAAACCTGTTGATTAAGCATAACTAAACTTACTAGATCCACTTCAGTAAGAAAGAAAACATCCTTAGCAGTACCTCAGATGAATAAAAAAATCAAAAAGAGGTACACGCCATTTAATTTTTTTCACTTTCTTTTGGATATATTTGATTAGCTAGATTAGATATTTCTTGAGTATGTGACAGTGACAAAACAGTATTTCCCAAGAGAAGCAGGAAAAAAATAGTGGGAGGAAAGGAGAGAAGTGAGAGGAAGCCAGCTTCTGCAGGCATGAAATGAAGGTTCCCCAAATTGACTCTGTAACTTCACATTGTACTGGATGGAATTATGCCAGTTAGAAACATGCATGAGTTAAAATATCAAGTAATCAGGAATTTGACCTAGAGGGCCAAATAGATTGAGAAGACCACATGAAAATTTTGCCAGGGCAACTTCCTGTCTTAAGAACCTGGCCTAAGCCCAGAAGGGGAACCTAACAAACCCTCTAACTCTAAGCAAAATTAAGCTAAGTAGAACCAACAAAGACAAGACTGAGAAAGTCCTTAT